CCCCAAAACCCCAAAACCCCAAAACCCCAAAACCCCAAAACCACAAATCGGATATTACGGAATACTAAAGGATATGTAATGATGTAATAAGCATTTAACCTATAATTTATTTGCTTTAATAAGAAGATATCCATGGAAAACTCGTAATCCTTGAGATCATCATATAGCCTAATTCCAATTAATTAGGAACTTATTCACCATGTGAAAAGACTCGACAGCCTAAATGTAATAATCATTAATACTTTTAATAACCATTCAGGAGGAAGAACTTGACAAGCTAAAGGGTCTTTTGAGTGCCATTTTTTCTAAAGATACTGTAAATAATACTAACCTTATTAATAATGGAATGAGATATTTATCCTTAATTTTAGGGTATTTCAATAGAATAGAACTTAAGCAAAGAAAATGAAGAACTATTATAAATTACATTGAAGCTTCATTAAGTAAGAATAGTTTTTGAAGCTGAAATTTTAGGTTTTAAGCTTGCTTGACTTAGATTTAGACAAGATCAATATTGACGAAACATCATCCTAGACACAATTAAAAAGTCTGCTTGATGAGCTAACCTAAAAAGGCGGTCTAGATTACGTACCAAGAGATAGAACACCCTCTGGTAGAATGTTTGAGCATGCTAGTGATTGCAGAATTCTCTTAAAGCATTTACAATAAACCAAGAAGGTTGCTTAATTACCAGACATCAAGGGCATTATTTACTATGTTAGAGTTGAAAATGATTTAATCGAAAATCTCACGACATCTTCATCAGTCTCAACTGATTTAAGTTCATTAGAGCATGTCTAAGCAGAAGATTAAGACAAAAATGAATAGCTTAAAAGAGTAGTTCTAACTGTTTAGAGAAAATTCATTACATTGACTTTGAATTCTAATGGAAAAGCGGATCTTTATTTTCATGCTTATGTTTGGCTCCATATATTGCTAAATAACTATTTGCATGCTAATCCTAAGTCAAATGAATAAGATTTTGACTAGCAAATAGTAAATACTTCAGTAGAAGTGAAAAGACTTAAAGGCCTTGTAGAATCAATAAAGAAGGTAGAAGCTAATTTGCAAAAGTTCCCATTTAACAAGGAAATCTATGATAGATTTGTGCAAGAATTTGGAGGTAGAAAATAAATAAAAAAACTAAAGCTGATTGAAGATATTTAGAGATCTCTCTTTGTTGCTTAAATCTCTGATGACAAATAAACCCTTTATTGGATTGAGAAGATACTTATTCAACTACTAGGCTATCATGATATGTCAATGAGAGATCAAGCTGTTATATTGCTTAATATGCTTTATGATGGTATAGACTGGCAACTAACTCAGGCATTTAGACCAGTTGTTAGAGTAGTCGGATAGCATTTTAAAGTAAATGTAATAGTAAATCTTGATCTAAACCAAAAAGACAATACTAATAGCCAGATATTTATTGGATTATCAGCACCATCACCAATCGAATCAATCAATAAGACTATTCTAACATGGCATAAAATTGATAAGAGAAACATAGTGAGTTAAAAAGGTATAGAGACAGAAATTATGATTAACTTTGGTAAATTTTGGAAATGTGGTTTCTATGATTGGAGATTGGTCTTAGTGAAGGAAACTGGCAGACTTTAACCTCTAGAAATTATTGGAAAGCCACAACCTTCATTCCCAAGCATCAAAACTGGAAGTTAAGGATACTATGATGAGGAGGATGACTTAGGGCAGATCGCTTAGGGTCGATTCATTGTTCATGCAAAGGGAATTAGAGACTAAATTTTTCATGAGGTTCAAGTTGATTTTTAAAATGCAGAGGTAGATACAAAAAAAGGAACATTTGTTAAAAGAGGAAACTTCTCAAATGTTGAAAGTGCAATTGAACAATATAAAAGCAAGGGTATAACTTCATTATACTTGATGGGAGTCTTAGAAAGAGATAACTATCCTTAAGCAAATAAGATGACAAATGAAGTAGAGCATAGAAAACCTGATTCAAATCCATTGGCTATTACATGTAGACAGACTGCCAATAAAATGCTTGGAGGAGATGATGGATTCTAAAAGGTAATGACTTAAGCGAAAAAGCATAAAGTAAAGATTATTATTGACTGCTTGACAAGAATATCTTCAGGAAGAAATCATAGAAAATATAGAGACTTAATGCTTCATTAACTAGATGAGGAAGGAAGAAAGAAGATTTGTTATGGAACTGACGGACAAGCTATAAATTATGAAGATACTGCAATGCTAAATTATAGAAAAGTTGAATCTTGGAATTTACTCATTGAAGAAGTTTTAAACTTCACTTAAACGCATGGAATAAATGGCATTCATTTGGATAATGGTCAGGCATGGCCTTAAATAATGGAGACTGATTTAGAAGAATTAATGAGATTAGATGTAGATGGTGAGCCTGCCTATACTCCTGAAGATGTTATGAATGGAGAAATCGTCCTTAGAAATGAAAACTACGGTTATTGGAACACTAATACTATGGAGCAATACCCAAATCCATTCTTTATCAAAATGTGCAAATAAATTTGGGAAAAAGTCCCAGATTTTATGATAATCGGTGAGTGCTGGGGAGGCTTTATGTTTGAGAACAGGCAAATTATTCTCTCTAGATCTGGAATAATTCCAAGACTATTTAAGCTTCCATAAGCAATAAGCTCCTTATTTGGAAAGAAACTTCATAAAGATGGCAGAGTAACAAACTGTGAGAGAGATAACGTTTTGGCATTAAAGAAGTGGTATGAAAGTAACAGACTATTCCTGCCTGAGGGCTCAATTTTAATCTAAAGCTCTACTGCTCATTAATGGCCTTATCCTGCTTATCTTTATGGAAAAGGAACTTGGGCTGCTGTTGACATTTTATATTTCATGCCAGATATCCCAATTACTTTTAATGGTGAAATCGATGGTGAAGTCTATAGAATCGGAACTACATAGCTCTTCTAGCATGATTAACAAGAAACAAATAAATCTGGATTAAAGAGAACAAATTCATAATTAATGATGGCTTTACAAAAGAAAGATGAAAATGATGATTATATACCTTAATAAACCACTTCACCAGAAGGCAAAAGAGGTCTGCCAAGAGTAAGATCAGGTTCAAATCTTTCTGCCGTTGTTCAGGAATAGAATTCAGGTCAAGATCTAAAATTAAAGGAGGATTAATTTAAAAGTCAAATAGGGCCATAGTAAGGATTTGATTTAACTAAGATTAACTCTCACTATGAACACAGAAGAAGACTCAGAAGGGAAAAAATGGTGCTCAGATATGGTGAGCTTATACCATTAGTTGCAAAATAAGACAGTGGCTATGGATGGCACAATCATGTTCTATCATTTGCTAGATACTCTCTGCTTGAAACTGCAATAATTTCAACAAATTTAAATGATTCAGATGTTACTTTCTATGTAGACACCACAGCTTTGTAATAACTATATAAGAAGAGTTATCATGACAATACTGTGATTATGATTTCAGATTGCTTGGCTCCTGAGCAAGCACCTCAGTATTATTTCCTCAGAGAATATTTACAAATGAAGCATTATCAAACATTAAAGCCATACCACTCTTCCATACAATGCCTTACCATTTGTTAAGATGATAACTTTGTGATTAAGAAAGCTCTTACTTAATCAATAGAAAGAACAAAAAATAAGCTTTAAAACGGAGAAAACATCGAGTCTGAATAAATCAGTGCAATTTTCACAGAAATTATAGAGAAAAGTCCAGAGGATATTATTAAATTTGCAGATATAGTAGGATCATTATAAGAGAATTTCCTTGATAAGCTTGGACTTAGTTTTAACGATTTATTCATCAACAATCATAAACTAAAAAATGATCCAGCCTTAGCCTCTAGATTAATTGCGCTATGCATTAGAATAGTCGAAATTTCTGATGGATAAGAGCTACCACCAGTTAAAGCAGCAAAATCTGTGGTGGATTCAAACCAGTTAGGACCTATAATATTCTGTGCTCCCGAACTTGGAAGGTGGTCTACTGTTGGTGGACTTGGAGTAATGGTCGATGAATTGGCTTATGGATTAGCATTGCTTGGACAAGAAGTGATTGTAATTTCTCCTTATTATGAGAAAAATAGAAAAGGTGAAACAGGCTACTTGGCAAAAGACCCAGCTGGCATTAATTATGTTGGTAACATTACTGTTACAATTGGAGGGGCTACTGTCCTTGGAGTTCATGAAGGTGTTGTCAACGGCGTAAAAGTAGTATTCCTTCATAATAGAGATATTTTCCCATCAGCTTATCCCGATCTAAATCCTGCTGATATGGTGAGATAATTAGCAGTATTTGGCAAAGGTTGTCTTGAATATTGCTGCAGCTAATCAATTATACCATCGGTTTGTGTGACTAATGATTGGTATACTGGACTAATTCCAGGGTATGCTAAAATTGGTGCTTTTGGAGATACTTTTAAGGGAACTACATTCTTCCATATTGCTCATAACCTTGAAGCTACTTATGAAGGAAGAATTTTCCCAGCTCCTAATTAAGGTGCATTAGAAAGCATTCATTAACTTCCAAGAGATTGGCTTGTCGACCCATTATGGGGCACTTGTATTATCAACCCTAGCAGAATTGCTATCATGCTATCTGATTAATGGGGAACTGTCAGTCCTTCATATAAAATTGATCTACTAAATACTTCATCACTGAGAGGTATCCTTGCTTTAAAAGAAAAGCCATTTGCTTTCCCTAATGGTATTCCAGTTGAGGCAAGACTAAAGAAATTAGATGAAGCTGCACCAGATCATTTTGCAGCTAAGAAAATTATTCAGAAGAAATACTTCGGCTATGCTGACTTAGATGATGAAGTATGCCTTTTATCCTTTGTTGGAAGAGTCACTGAACAAAAAGGAGTTCATCTTATTTTAGATGCTGCAGAAACAATCATTTAAAAGTATAACTACAGAATCAACATCCTCGTTGGTGGAATGGCTAATATTAAGGAGCCGTATTCTGCAGATTGTGCTAAGAAGATGTGGCATCTCAAGACTAAATATCCTAACTGCTTCTGGGCTGATCCAAACTACTTCTTCACTGATGGCTCTATTGTCAATAGAGGTAGTGACTATGGACTTATGCCAAGTATCTTCGAACCAGGTGGTATTGTTTAACACGAATTCTTCGTTGGAAGCACTCCAGTCATCGCTTATAAAACTGGTGGATTGAAAGACTCCGTATTTGAATTTATGTGGGACTCTGAATAAGGAAATGGATATACCTTCGAAGCTCATAAAGTAAATGATTTTATCTTTGCATGCGACAGAGCTATTGGAACATTTAAAAACAAGAATAAGTATCTTAAATTGAGACAAAACGCATTCAACTCTGTTATGGATGGTGAAAAGGTAAGCAAGGCTTGGCTAGGAGAATTTTACAGGCTTAGAAATAAAGTCTACGTCGAAAAGACTATAATTGAAGATGCACTTAACAAAATGAAGCCATGGGCACCAGAAATATACAAGCCGATTTCTAGTTTTGAAGAAATGTTTGGCATTGAAAGAAAACTTAATTTTGCCCTTGACGATATTGACTAAGGTGCAGAGGAAGAAAAAGAAGTGCTTGAAGAAGAAAAAACTTCAGATGGTTAAAAGAAAAAGGTAGTATCTCATTTCGAAGCTTAAACAAGAAATGAGGACAGATTCCCTCATGTCTTTATGATGCATAATAATGGTCCTAGACATCAGAGAGTTGAATTGTGTGGTTCTATGGATGAATGGCTAGTAAGACACCCAATGAACTTTGATCACTTTACCAATCAGTGGTTCATCACTCTTCATCTCAAGAGAGGCAAATACAACTACAAGTATGTTGTAAATGACAAAAATTGGGTTATTAACGAGAAGGAACCAAAAGAAAAAGATTTAGCTGGAAACGTAAATAATGTTCTCAGTTTATGATAAAGACACTAATTATTACGGAAGACAAGATTCCATGAAATAAGTCTTATTTATTTAACTTAAATTTATACTAAGAAAAGCAATATCTACTCTTACTCATCAAAGAGGGGTTTTGGGGTTTTGGGGAGATCAGAAGAGCACACGTCT